TGACGAGGCATTTGGCTACCTTAAGAGAGTCATAGTTACTCCCGCCGTTTACCCGCGCTTGGTTGAATCTCTTCACTTTGACATTCAGAGCACTGGGCAGAAATCACATTGCGTCAACATCCGTTGGGACGATCGCAATGCCTTATTTTAATTAAACAGTCGGATTCCCCTTGTCCGCACCAGTTCTACGTCGGTAGTTTGATGCTTAGGGAGAGTCCCACCGCCCCACCCGAAAGGTGGGGACAACAGACATTCTACGCCTGTCGGCACACAGCCACGCGGGCTCCGCCCTCGCCGCGAGAGCAGCTCGAGCAGACCACCGGCAGCCAACGACATCGAGGCGCATACCCCTAGGCCCAGCCCTCAGAGCSAATCCTTTTCCCAAGGTTACGGATCCATATTGCCGACTTCCCTTACCTACATTCTTCCTTTGACGAGAGGTTGCTCACCTAGAAGACCTGATGCGATTATGAGTACGGTCGGGCGTAAGAGGTACCCGCAGCTCCAGATTTTCAAGGGTCATGTCGGGCGCTGCACCATATCTCCGGTTGATCCGATTCCAGGGTGGGCGAGTCGTCAAGAAGGAAAGAGAACCCTCCCCACGGCCCCCGCCGGCATCTCCGAAGCTGCTTACGTTACCGTCCACCTCCACAACCCGGTTCGGGAATATTAACCCGACCCCCTTTCGATGTGCGGTGTGCAGTGCGCCCTTGATACAAGGTTTCCACATCTCTTAGGGCCGATTGACCCATGTCCAAGCGTTGTTCATAAGAAACCCTTTTCCACTTCGGTCTTGAAAGTTCTCATTTGAATATTTGCTACTACCACCAAGATCTGCACCGGGACCTGCTTCACCTAGGCTCACGCTCCAGGCTTCGCAGCAGGACCCGCGCCCTCCTACTCGTCGCGGCGTCAGAATCGCCGCGACGGCCGAGCATAGGTCGCGCGCTTCAGCGCCATCCATTTTCGGGGCTGATTGATTCGGCAGGTGAGTTGTTACACACTCCTTAGCGGATTTCGACTTCCATGACCACCGTCCTGCTGTCTGTATCAATCAACACCCTTTGTGGTGTCTGGGTTAGCGTGCAGTTTGGCACCGTAGCTCGACTTTCGGTTCATCCCGCATCGCCAGTTCTGCTTACTGAAAATGGCCCACTTGGAGCTTTCATTGATCTTCGGGGTTCGCTTAAGCAACCCCGAAATCTWACCTATTTAAAGTTTGAGAATAGGTCGAGGGTGTTTCACCCCCGAGGCCTCTAATCATTCGCTTTACCCGATAAAACTGTTCAACAGCTCCAGCTATCCTGAGGGAAACTTCGGAGGGAACCAGCTACTAGACGGTTCGATTAGTCTTTCGCCCCTATACCCAAATCCGACAAGCGATTTGCACGTGAGTATCGCTGCGAGCCTCCACCAGAGTTTCCTCTGGCCTCGCCCTCCTCAGGCATAGTTCACCATCTTTCGGGTCCCAACGGGCATGCCCACACTTAAACCTCTCACAGCAGATCGTGGTTGGCGGACGGTGCACCCGCAGAGGATTCCCGCCACTAAGGTTTCTTCCGTCTCGTGGGCTAATCACCCACCGGCTCGCATGCACGTTGAACTCCTCGGTCCGTGTTTCAAGACGGGCAGGATAGAGGAAATTCGCCAGCATCCCGAACAACCAGGAACCCGAACGGGCCCGCCGAAAGAGGCGCGTGCTCAAGGTCCTCGACTGCCGTGACGGCCGCCCGTGAGGGGTTTCAATCGCTCTCCACCGCAATGCCGGTCACAGCAGCCCATGCTGGCAGGCACCCCAYGTCCAACAAGGGGGGCGACAACACAGTCGCCGTCCACGCCTGCCCAGACGGGAGCGCACGACTTCCCCTCCATCAGCTTCTCGCTCGACAATTTCAAGCACTCCTTAACTCTCTTTTCAAAGTTCTTTTCATCCTTCCCTCGCGGTACTTCTTCGCTATCGGTCCCTCGCACATATTTAGCCTTGGATGGGACTTACCACCCAATTGGGGCTGCATTYCCAAGCAACCCGACTCTTGGACAACACCTCGTTGCGCAGCAGGGTCCGGCGGTCGACGGGGCTGTCACCCTCTTCGGCGTCCCCTTCCAGGGAACCTACACACGGCCCGCTGCAGAGGTTGCCTCTCAAGACTACAATTCAGGGAGCARCACAGCCCCCGGATTTTCAGTCTGGTCTATTCCCGGTTCGCTCGCCGCTACCAAGGGAATCCTCGTTGGTTTCTCTTCCTCCGCTTGGTTATATGCTTAAATTGGGTGGGTGCTCCCGCCTGACCTGAGATCAAAAGGCAAGGCCCGACGTACCTCCACAGCTCGAGGCCGAGACCCCCATCCGCAAGCCCACCTCAAGCTGATGGGAGTGAATGGAAGGCGACGACCACACAAACCGGAGGGACGACCTTACGTGYCGTTTTCAGGGAAACGAAGACCACCACCCACAAACGGGTGCTGGAGGGCAACAACAGGGCGGAGCGAACACACCACTCTGGGCTGCGGCCCCCACAGGCCTGCTCGGAATGCTCTCCAATTCCCTTCCACTTTAGGCTATCGACGCTCTCCAAGTGGGAAGCGAGGGAAGCCACGACCACGGACCCCACCACTCTCCGAAACGGAAGGTGCTGTGGTCGTGAGGAATCCAATGATGCTGAGGCGCGCGTGCCCTTTGCAGAAGCCTTGGGCGCCACGTGCGTTCAAGGTATCGATGGCTCATGGATTTCTGCAGTTCACATTCAATATCGCATTTCACTGCGCTCTTCATCGTTGCGAGGGCCAAGATAGTCGTTTGCCGAGAGTTCTACAATATGGTGCCGTTCCGACAGGACCGACCCCTCGACCAGAACAGAAGGGGGCCGTCAACCCGGACAACAACAAATTAGAGCAGGTACATGAATAAGAAGTTGCAAAGCCGTCGCCACCAGCCGCTGCCACGAGCCCGCCCGACCTCCCTTTGGGGGGCCAGGCAGGGCACCGGGGAGCAGCGGGGCAACGAGGGTGCAAGCGCTGTCTCCTCCCCCCGCCCCCAACCCGACACCACCCCGTTCACGACCAAAACCCTCCCCCAACGGCCCTCCACCCCAAGATTCAGACCACCTCGACTGTGTCGAGGACGCCGATCTGTCCGGAAAGGAGAACCCCGTTGGAAAGGAAGGCAGGACGAAACAGGGAGGGGCCGAGGACCCCGCAACACACSCCGCCCCTAGCCTGTACCACGACCCTCGATCCCCAAACAAGCCACAAGCTCCGCACAAAGCCGCGGTCGTGGCCGGGATGGAAAGGAGGTCTGGACAAAGCTGAGACGGGAAGGAGCGGGGGTACGCAGGCCGAGGACAGCCACCACCACCCGACATCCCGTCCCTGACCCCCCCGCAGGGCTGTCCGTGCCCGGACCAACCGCCATCCCGACCAGAAGTCGAGAGTGGGGCTGGGCCGAGGTAACAACCTGCGGAGGCAAGACGGGATGAAGGGGGAGCAACGCCACAAGGCCCCGGACCCTGCCCACTTCCCCCACCCTCGACCTACACCATGCGCCCCTCTGCGCCGGGCCAGCCGCCAGCTGGGCACTGAGCCCAAGATGGTGCTGAAACGGAAGAGAAAAGCGGATGCAGGGAGGATGGGGGCAAAGGAGGGCGGATCGGCCATTCATGTGTCAATGATCCTTCCGCAGGTTCACCTACGGAAACCTTGTTACGACTTCTCCTTCCTCTAAATGATAAGGTTCAATGAACTTCTCACAGCACCCCCAGCGGCAAACCGTCGAGATCACCGCAATCCAGACACTTCACCAGACCATTCAATCAGTAGGAGCGACGGGCGGTGTGTACAAAGACTAGGGACGTAATCAGCGCGAGCTGATGACTCGCGCTTACTAGGCATTCCTCGTTCAAGATCGATAATTACAACAATCTATCCCCGTCACGATGAACCTTARGAAGGTTACCCGGGCCTTTCGACCCAGGCAAGCGAACTCGTTGGATTCATCAGTGTAGCGCGTGTGCGGCCCAAAACATCTAAGGGCATCACAAACCTGTTATGGCCTCAAACTTCCGTTGGCTAGTCGTCCAACAGTCCCTCTAAGAAGCTGGCCACGAGGAAAGGTCCCCGCGTAGCTATTTAGCAGGCTGAGGTCTCGTTCGTTAACGGAATTAACCAGACAAATCACTCCACCAACTAAGAACGGTCATGCACCACCACCCACAGAATCAAGAAAGAGCTCTGAATCTGTCAATCCTTGCTATGTCTAGACCTGGTGACTGTGTCCTATGAACGGAGAACGGGCGTAATTCAACGCCGTTGAACCTGTTCAACGGGCCTGGGGCCCCCCTTTAAATCGCGTTTAACGCGAGAACGGGGCTGTTCCGTTGAATTATGAAAAACGGAACCGGCGCCTTGGGCCTCGGACACATGGCCCTACGAGCCCAAACACTAAGAAAAAGTAAAACTAAATTTGACCCCTATTAACAGGGTGGGGTGGCCAAACATGCCCCTACTGCCCGAAATTCAAACTGCAAGAAGGAAAAATATAAACCACCCCATACCCCAAGACTGTGAACACATCTGTGTGCATGTGGGTGCATTTCCTTCTTTTTTTTTTTTTTTTTGACAAATATGCTGCAATGTAGTCGTCCAGTCTCATTGCCGAAGGGTCCCCACGAATTAGCAAGGACCGTCGTGGAACAGAGACTTGGTAAATGCTGTCGTGGCCCAATAATATATAGTATGGATTCGAATTCAGGTCTGTGGCAGTCTGTGCATGTTAGTTATGGGTCACCAATTCTCTGTTTTCTCGGTTTTTTTTTGTTTTTCTTTCTTTTTTCCCGTTTTTCTTTTGTTTTCTCATTTTTCTTCTGTTTTTTCTCGTTTTTCATTTTTTTAGGAATACGTGCAGTGGCCCTAAGGGCCTCAACTCACCACATGCACAGAAGACAATACTTCTGGTGGTGTATTATTCCACGTTCTAGCAGAAGATCCATTTTTTTTTCATTCTTTTTTATGAAAGCCCAGGGTGTTGTAGAGGCCAAGGACCAGACCCGTGGTGACTGCTGGTAGCAACAGCGAATGGCTGTCCTCTTAGGATAGGCCACCTACCCTACCCATCCCCACGTTAATACTCCCAGCACACCCCCTGTCCCTACTGTCCTACCTCAGTGTGACCAGCACTCAGGACCATCACCCTACCAGGGCAACTTCGACCAGACAGCAGTGACAAGCACCAGGGGCATGGTCCCACTGGCAACCAGAGTTCAGTGACCCAAATCCTGCTGTGCACTACTCGTGATCCCACAGTCAGTGTTTTACATGTATTACCCGAAAAAGTAAGGAGATCTTCGCTCCCCTCGTCCTCTCCTTAACACTGGGCATGCCCGTGCAAAGACAGCTTCCCGCCAGAATCTTTTCTATCGGTTGGGGGTGTGGCCAACCCCAAACGAGGTTGGGGTTGGCCTTAGCCCACTGCATAGAAGATTTTCAGCATTTTACTTGCTGTTGTGCAATTATCTGATTGGGTGGAGCCCTCCATTCCATCACGGAGTATATGGAGGGTGTCAGGATCACTGCTGTCAGAAGTCCAGTGTGACACTGTTTTTGCACTCTGCGGTGACTTCCAGTGGGAGGTCTCTGTTTTTT